TGCACAATGTATTATTGGTGCAGTAAGATTGGTTCAAAGTTATTATGATGCCATAGAGATTACATACTCTTATATGATAATTAGTGGGGAGGTAAGCTGAGAGGTTTAGTTTGACAGCAGCTGATGTGAAAGGTGGATAATCTCGGCTATCTTCTGCCTCTTCGCATAGATTTTTTTCCGAGTTTTTGTTTTCAAGGTCATTCAAGGTCATGGGGTACAGGTCGTGGTTGTCTGCATCTAACATGGCGGTAGTAGTCTGTACTGTATTACACTTGCTGATATTTATGGATTTTTCTCGTGTTTTTGTTGTCAAGGTAATACGAGATCATGGGGTCAAAGTCAAGGTAATAGGTCGGGTGTCACGGGCCAAAGGTCAAATTTCAAGCACTGGCTTCGAAGATGGTGGACATCTAGATGTTTACCAAGAGGGTGGTCGCCTACCAAGATGGCAGACTGTGTATGGGTGAGGGGGTGGAGATCAGCCGACTAATTTGTTAGGCGAGGGGAGATAGGGGAAACTGCGGAAAAATAAATTTTAAAAATAAATTTTATATAATTTTTTAACTATTTCTAAATAAAATTTTGTTTATTATTTGTTAACATAAAGTTTTAATGATCATTATAAGTAATTTCTAGATAATTTTTAAAAATACATTATTGGAATTCTTCGAATTTTCAAGGTCGAAGGCCAAGGTCAAATGTCATAGGTCCTGCTCTTCTGGCTCGGAGTCACTGATCCCGGTAAGGTGGTTCTGACCCTGGGTCACAAGTTCCCCTCGCCTGCTCCGGGAAATATGAGTCATTTCTGAGGATATTTTTAATAATTAATTTTTTCGGATTTTTTTAAATTTTTTGGAATTTTTGGTATATCTTTGGGGTTATTTGTGGTAAAAGGTCCCCGGGATCAAGGTCACAGGTCAAAGGTTATGGGTAAAAGGTCAATGACATCCATGATGGCGGCCGGGTGACGTAACAGTATGGCGGCTCCCCTGGCTCCGGCTCCGATCCACGATCACCTTGTGCGTCAATGCATTTTTTCATACTTCTAATTTCAGTGACTCAAATACACTTACTAACTCACACGTAATTTGAAAGCTTGATACACACAGACGTTAAAGTGAATCCTGGAGGCACCACCCTCAACAGCCAATGAACGGAACATAATCCAACCTTCGAAATTCCGAAATGCTGTAGGTTGGAGCCTAGCGTAGAGTATTAATGGACACACAAAATTGTCATGTGTATGATACAGTTAATATAGTAGCTCTATGGTGCCTGAGACTATACCTGGGACTGAGGGGACCAGACCATCAACTAGCATCTAGCATTTCAACGCAAGGATATCGAATGTCAGGTCCCGAGACTCACCGAAGTTCGCCGAGGACTTCCGAAGTGTATATGTGTCAGGAGGTTCCATGACTTTTCGCTAGTGTACAGCAAGGTATAGAATTTTTGCCCAGGGAATTTAACGTCATATTTTCCATTTACCTAACCTGTCGATTATAGCATGATTCTAAGTTGAGAAATGCTAAAATGAATGCGTATGTTTTTATGTTGTTTGATCATATGTTTTTAATGTCGCTGATTGAGCAGTTTTTAATTGGCGCTTATTAAGATAGTGAAAACAGATGTATTTTAAATCGGCAGTGCGATTCCTTAACGTCGTTCCATACATTGTTGTTAATAATATACATTTTATTCGTAATTCTATTTTACTACATGTTATTTTTGTCTAGAACAGTCGTTACTTTATTTATTATGTTACTTAACTGCTCACACATTTTTCGGATTTACTTTGTCCATTGAAACATGTTTATGTCTTTCCAGTGTGTTAAAATATTTTTTTTTTTTAGAACGACGTAGCCTGTTTCCGGATTTTCAATATATAAGTACTTGTAAGTATGTACATTTGAGTACTAGCAGTGATGGATACTTGTCATGCACTTGTTTAAACTATTCGGACAGGTCATCGCCCGTTCATGTTAGACTGGTCGCACATTCTGGCGGAAATATCAGAAACTATGTGGCAACAGAAAAATGCGGCGCAATATGGTGTTATATATAGGCCTACGTTACAACTACTATGGTTATGCATTAAGATGACACACACAACCTTAAAATATTAGTTATTTATTTTTGTGTAATGGTTTGGTACTTTGACATCTTACGAGTTTTAAGTTTAAGTGTGGAAACCTGCTTCAGACGGGAATGAGGTATTAATATGGGCATTAGTGGGCGCGTATTATTTACAGGAGGAAAATGAAAGGCAGCGCAGAAATATTGTACACCAATTGCTTGGCAGAGCTGCAAGACAACAGGCGTGTGTTGTTTTGAGCTAAAACTAATACACAAAAATATGCCAATATATTGTCTGTTTTTGTCGTCGTACACTTTGAGTACGAATTGTACAGCAGAAAAACAAATTTCAGGAATATAGAAATTCTTGCACCTCGGTATCCTGAGGTTATGTTCCACGTCAGTGGAAGATTGTAAATAAATCAGGGCAGTTGTTATAAGATTCGTTGCATTTATTTATCGCATGTAAGATTGAATTACATGGAGACTGGAATTTCTTTCCTCGTCCTTCGATACTTACATTACCAAGTTTGAAATATATACAATGATAACAAAATAAAGAAAAATGCAATTCAATGAAGTTTGCAATAACTTGGAAACGCGGATTGCAAATGCAATATTATTTGTAAGCATACGCCTGGGAAGTATGCTGCGAACGCCTACAAAACGCTCACAATTTTATTCATAATTGGAAGCACTTTTATTACACTGACAATTATTTACATGCATAACAGAACTACATTTTGTAAATACTTATTAACTTTTGAAACTTGCTACCTTTATAACCACAAAATATACACGTTAATTTTCACACCTGAAGTACAATATGGCGGCTGTCCTAAGTACGCAAGTATACCCAGCAAGTATATAATTTCAAATACTTGCCAAGTATAAACCCTGTGTGTACTATACTGAGAATTCGGACAGCGCTAGTATATACATGGCGATGTCACTCCGGGGAAAAGTACGCACAAGTATGCATTCTTGAGAATCCGGAAGCTGCCTTAGTTACTGAGCAGTTGTTGATCCTTTGCAATAGCTATTTAGTGGTGTGATAAGATATATTTGTCTCTAGCACTCTCGTGGTTGGTTGATTATCGAAATCATATTTGGAGCTTTTATCCATATTGTTTTTCGCCGGCAGGATGCTGACCCATATGGGTTTAAAATAAAGGTTTTTTTTTTTTTACTGAATTCTTGAAATAATTTTTCCAGAGTTCGCATCTGTAAACAGGCCGTCTCGGTGCAGACGAAGACGCGAGAGCCAAGCTAGTGAGAAGCTGGCCTGTATGGTCACCACCGCCTAATTCTACAGGCGTTAGAAAGTCGAACAACGATGCTGTGTTAGAGTGCTGGTAGTGTATGAGCACTATAGGATCGAGAGCCTACTCAAGGGAAGAAATAAAGATGATTTCCTGCAGCATTCAGGGGGATGCTTCTGCCCAGAACCAGATCAACGTGATTTTGCAGTCATTCTCGATTACGAAATGTTAAAATTTTCATTCATCTAAGTCACCAATTACTTATCATCATCCTTTTAATTATAAGCGTATATTTGGTAATGCAATGTTGGCTTTAACCTGAATTGAGCCATGTTACCTCTTAAATAGGTGTTCCCTTGATTAAGTCTTAAGCTATACCCTGAGATATTTTTGGGAAGAGACTCTTTAAAATATATATTTTTCAGTTTGAATTTATTTTTCAGGCCTAAAGACAAAAATGTGTTCCATTCACAAGAAAGAGTTGTGTTAGTGCGATCACTTATTAAATTTTGGACTTCTTATTTTTCATTGAAAACTGGATCTACATATTATTTAAGAAATAAATATTTTTTTAAAAATAGTTTTAGATTTTTATTTACAATTTTTGTTGACAAGATTACAAATTAAATATTATACATTTCCTAAAACATATCTAATATGTAATGCTTTGAATATATCATTGTTATTTTCTTTGTGCTATGCGTGCCTGTAGTTATTGAATTGTGTCTTGTTGTGTGTTACACTACCTATGCACCTGTACAAATTTCGCACCTGTATGGTTCACATACAAATTCTCCTCTCATGTCCTACCTTTAGTTTTTCCCTACCTCATAACTTTACATAATTTTTTTTTGTCTGCTTTGTGCTATACCAGTCTGTAGTTAATGAGTTGTGTAGTGTTGTTGTGTGTTACACTATTTGTGCACCTGTACACATTTTTGCACCTGTATGTTTCACATATAAATTTTCCGCTCATATCCTACTTTTAGCTTTTAACGATGGATCCCCTAACATAAGTCTTAAGCTATACCCTGAACTAGTAATGAGATGAGACACGATTCAACATATTTTCAGCTTTAATTTATTTATCCAGGTCTAAAGACAGTGACGTATTCCATTCTCAAGGGTGGTTTGTGATGCCGAGGCAATTGATAAAATTTTGGCCTTCTTACTTTTGATTGAAAACCAGGTCTACATTTTATTAGATAAATAATGCTACTTTTGCACATAGTTTCACACACACACACAGATATATATATATATATATATATATATATATATATATATATATATATATATATATATATATATATATATATATATGCAAGATTTTGTTGACAATATGACAAATAAAAAATATTCATTTTCTGAAATATCTCTGATATTTAATGCTTTCAGCAGCACATTGTTATGTTATTTGTCCTATCGTTGTCTGATGTTATTTAGTTGTCTATTGTTGTGTGTGTGTTATAATACTTGTGCACCTGTACACATTTTCACACCTGTATTTTTCACATACAAATTCTCCTCTTACCTCATACCTATACTTTTCCTTACAACAGCACTTTACATACAAATTTTGTCACTAGAAAATGGGGCAATTTACAATTTGATCTCCTCACATGCCCATACCTTTGTTTACTCTACTTCATAACAAGTCGGCACCAAATGTAAGGTTCCAACCCACGACCCTGAAATTATGTCTCATGTTCTGCCGACTGAGCTAGCTGGGCAACCAAGCAGTACAAAACACAGATTAAAAAAGACATTGTATCATACAGTCAGTGGCAGAGGCCTAACAAAACAAATCAGATGGGTACGAAAAATCTGGATCAGCCAGTACAATTTAGCCAGGAATATGCCGGCAATATGATACACCCTAGAAGCGGGTATTTTTCATACCAAGAGCCTCTTGAGCCACGCATGCCTGTCAGCAATAAAGTTATTAAGTGTAATAGAGTGCCCTTCGGCAGAACGTTTTTCCAAAAGTGCTAACTGGCCAGCGATCTTCGAAGTTTCACCCTGCCAAGGTGCCGTTGTTACTACAATAACATATGTGCCAGACAAGCGTTCCGAGTCAATAAGGTAAGAAATGAGAGAAAACGTTATAAATTACCTTGTGATCGTAGATGAAAGAAGAAGTAAATATGTCAAATTGTCAAAGCTACATGTTTTACAACCAGGAGAGCTAGTTTAAGTACGTGCCACCAACATAAGGTTGTGACAAGCTGAAAGTTAAATTTATGCTGATATTTGCAGACAGTTATGGAGTGAATATTGAGATACATGCTAAATTCTATGAAGTCACGAAGCCTTAAACAGTAGAGACAGTTGGTCGGTATGAACTGACGACCTTGGGAGTGTACCGAACTCAGCTAACCCCCATGTAAGAAGTTTGGTTTGTGCATAAGTTAACTTGAAGACTGACACAACATACAGGTCAAGCTTTTGTTGAGCTTGGCACGTAATGGTACAATTTGATATTGTTATTTGGAAGAAAACGGGAGGCGGGGTATATTCAGTTGATGTAAAATGGGAGTTCTGGCTCACCACAATTTTTAGGGTTATTTCTTCTAAACTCACAACAAAAAACGCAGTACATTAAATAGGGTCATTTCGTCTAAAAGTACAGGAAAAAATTAAAAACTCAAAATCTAAAATTCGATGAAAAAACAATGAAAATCAAGGAAATTAAAGTCAAAATCAAGGTATTTGAGGGCTAAATTTAAGCTCTAGAATTTTTTTAAAAAGGGGTTCTCAAAAGCAAGCAATTTTAAGCAAAAAAAAAAAAAAACAAGAAAATTTTAGTAGTTTTTAAAAAATGAACGTGTAGGATTTGACACAGGGTAAAACAAGTAAAATTATGCAAAAATATGTAAATTTGTCGTTTTCTAGAAACACTAATTTTGCGAGCGAGTTATCTAAATCAAGTAAATTTACGACAAAATCAAGCAAAATCAAATGAAATATTAAAAAGATAATTGATAGAATTTAAATATTATATTCAATTTCATGCACAGACTTTCCAATTTTCAGTTCTTTTAAGCATCTATATGCTATAAAACGCCCTTCTCATTTATTAGTTTCAAAGCATTTTCATCAAGTACCTTCAAATAGCGCTCTGGTAAAGTAGTTTGATACTTATCATCTAGATTACAATTAATTTTTTTACCAAACCTAGACACATAAATTTCAAACTCTGTATCAGTAAACCATATATTTGTTCTATATATTGTAGTTTAATTCATTCAAACGAATTGTTCAACTTCTTGAGGAGAGATTACATTTTTTTGTGTAATTTATAAAGAAAGAATATATACAAAGAAAATTTTTTCTTTATCTTAATAATAATTTTTTTTAATAAATAAAAAGGAAACGATGCTCGAAATGGAAAATAATAACATATTTAAGCAATGTAAAATGTGGTGATGTATTAACCATAGAAAGTTTCGCACCACATAAATCCACGAAAGATAAACATTTTAACATCTGCAAAAAAATGTTATAGTGAATATGCTAGTAGTCATACATTTAAAAAAAGAGAAATTAATGTGCGAAAGTGTAAAATATGTTTATAATACATCTCTCAAGAAGCACAAAAATAGTAAATTACACAATACAGCATTAGATATTCTAAACGAAAATCAACATGATAATTACCCGACAAAGACATGTAAAGTATGTAATGAGAATAAATCTATAAAATTATTTTCTCTTAATAAAAATAGTAAGGACAAAGGAAATTGAGAGATATTGCTAGATATTAAAAATAACATATATAAGCAGACTAAGGAAAAACGATCTAAATATAAGTATTATACCATTTTTTATGCAAAGGCTTATAGACGAGCGGAGAAAAAGAATGCTGAGAAAAAGAAACTTTACAAAATTACCTTTAGCTGATTTAAATATCAATGAATTATATCATAAAGATAGAATAGAATTAGAAAAAATATTTCCATTCTATAATAATTTATTTGTTAACAGAAGAAAAAGAATAACCAACAACTGCTTACTTAATAAAGCTTTCAAACATAGGATATCAACATATAACATACCCTTAATTTATTACAGCCTATTAATTTATTGACTTCAGTAAAAAGTAAGATATTTGAGATAATACACACTAATCTTAGGAACCTTAGAGGGCTGAAAACCAGAAATGAATTATATGCCTATTTTCGCAAGCAAGATAATAATTAAGTAGAACGATTTACATTTCAATCACCCAATAATACAATACTGAATGAAGGAGATAATAAAAGGATTTATAAATTCGTAATACAAAAAATAATTACACAATTATCTGAATTTAAAAGAAGAGGCTCAGGATGGTCATTAGATAGAATAATGGGAATACAATTAGCTCTAAATAAGTATAATCCATTAAATGGCTCATCATATATGGAATTACCAGACGATATTAAGAATAAGAAAGCGTGCATAAATGTTAAAAATAATGATCAAAAATTCTTCCTTTGGGCTGTAAAATCTGCATTATTTCCAGATGACGAAAATTCGGACAGAGTAACCAAATATAAACAGTGGGGTTTAATATTGATAAAGTAATAGATACATTTGAATATCCAATAAAAACTGATGACATACCAAAAATAGAAAATCAAATTGATGTATCAATAAATGTATACTCTATTGAAGATGAAGGCGAGAAATCCACAGTATATCCACTTAAGCTTACAACACTTAAAAAGGATAAGCATATAAAATTACTTTATTTCAAAGAAGGTGAGAATCAAATTATTGTTGGATAAAAAGATTTATCGAGGCTGCTATCAATGCAGAATAATAATCAGCATGGTAAAAATTATATATGTGATATGTGCCATCGATTCTTTACCTCTCAAGAGAAATTAAATAAACACGCAGAAGACGGCTCTAAAAAACTAAGCAGTAAAAATCACTATACCTCCAAAAGGAGAGCAAATAAGATTTAAAAATTACAATAATACAATGAATGTTCCTTTTGCAATATATGCCGATTTTGAGTCAATTACAAAGAAAATATCAACAACTGGGCCAAATCCAAGGGAAACATAAATTTAAATTAATCCAAAAATACCCTGTTTTAACAGAAGATAATACCGATAATGGACTTTATAAGGAAATACTTAAAGAAAGAAAAAGTCTTACTAATGAAGAAATAAATAACATTCATTTAAAGCTGAATGATGAGTCATATACTATGAAATATCAATTACATGAAGCATCTGGTTTTGCTTTTTGCTATTATATTGTACCTGCTTACGGTGATTATAAGTCTTCAGTTGTATATGAGGCCTATATGCACATAAAAAAAGTTTATTCGCTGTATGAAAAGGGAAGTAGAAGAAATTGGAGAATTATATTCACAAATTGAACCAGTGCATCCACTAACAAAAGAAGAAAAAATATTGTATAGTAAATCAAAGAGCCGTATGTAACAATTGTAATCTACAATTAAAATGACGCAACTTTGTACCAAATTATTTCCATAATTTAGCTGCTCATGATGCTCATGTATTTATTAAAGGGCTAGAATATGATGAAAAAAAAAAAACATTTAATTGCAAATAATGATGAAAAGTTTGGGAAAGCAACAAAAAATTAAAAAAAAAATGTAATGCATTAACATTTTTAAATTTATGGCAAGTAGTTTAGATATATTATCATCTAATTTAAGTAAAGATCAAATGAAACACACACAAAAACATTTTTCAAACGAACAAGTAGATTTAGTACTTTGAAAAGGAGTTTATCCATACGATTATATAGACAGTTGGAAAAAATTTGAAGGAATTGAACTTCTACCAAAGAGTGAATTTTACAACAAATTAAGTGAATATGACATAACTGATGATGATTATGAACATGCAAAACATGCATTAAATCAATTTAATCTGAAAAATTTAGGTGAATATCATAACTTATATTTAAAATGTGACATGTTATTATTAGCAGATATTTTTGAAAATTTTAGAAATACATGTATAAATGCATACAATTTAGATCAATCATGGTATCTTACCACCCCAGGTTTAAGGTGGGAAGCAATGTTTAAAATTTCCATACAACCACTATATTTACAACATGATTATGACATAATTTTAATGATAGAAAAAGGATTTAGAGGTGGAATTTCACAACACTTTAAACGATATGTTAAAGCCAATAATAAATACTTAGAAGATTTTAATCATAATCAAGACTCAAATTATTTAACGTATTTCGATGCAAATAATCTTTTTGGATGAGCAATGTCTCAATATCTGGCATTAGGAGATTTCGACTGAGTTTATAATAAATTAAATGATTTAGGTTACTGGAGTGCAAAACTATTAGATTTAGAGGATGATTCTGAGTATGGTTATATATTAGAAGTTAATTTAGAATATCCACAAGAACTACATAATTTACATAAAGATCTACATTTTTGCCTTGAAAATAAAACAGTTCCAAAAACAAATTGATCTAAATTATTAACAACTTTACATAAAAAATAAAAGTATGTATTTCAGTAATGTAATTTGAAACATTACTAAAGAATGGATTAAAACTTACTAAAATACATAGCATATTGACATTTGATCAGTCCAATTGGTTAAAGAAGTATATAGAGTTGAATACATCAATGAGAACTAATTCCAAAAATATCTCCGAAAAAGATTTTTACAAACTGATGAAAATTCTGTGTACGACAAAAAATATGGAAAATATTAGAAACAGAGTAGATACA